TACAATTCACACACAGGTTATATCTGTATATGTTAGGACACTTATGCTTCTACCTTATATAATAATTATTTGTGTGGACGGTAGGCTCCTTTGAGGTAGGAGAAATAAGGTGTAGTGAAAAGAAATGGGATTTGGAACCAAAGGATTTGGGTCTGCCCTTTAACAAGTTGTGTGGCTGAGGACACGTTACTTTTCTTCCCTGACCTTTGCTTTCTTCCTCCATAAGAGGGAGATTACAGTACAATGTGCCTCATAGTTTCTGAGGTGCATTATCAACAAAAGATAATGGATATTCAAGGATTTAGAGATTGCGGAGTGCTAATGTATTATTATCCCATTGCCCTTGTCTGTTTTCCAGAAGCCCAGCACAGTACCTTGCTTGGGGCGGGGAGGAGTGTGCACAGTGAATATTTGTTAAATGAGTAGGCCATTGTGCTGACTTCATTTGGTGTTCACAATTCCCCTCTGAAGTAAGCTTTAATATCCTCATTTCAGGATGAACAAGCTGAGGTTTGGAGTGGGTATACTCATTCATTCATTCATTCATCCATCCATCCATCCATCCATCCATCCAACAGACATCTGAATGAGCAACCACGATGCATCGGATGCTAAGACTCTGAGGATATAAAGATAATTAAGACAAAATCCCTGTTCTCACAGTCCAGAGTGGAAAACAGACTCATAAAGATAAGTATAACACAAGGTGGATTATAAATTATAGCAAATATTTATTGGGTACTTCCTAAGTCACTCTGTAAATTCTTCATGTGTTTTACTCATTCAATACTCCCCAAACTCTATCAGTTATGTACCATTATTACCCACATTTCTTATAGAAAAAAACCAAGGCATGGTAATTGCCTAAGGTACTAGTAGCAAGTGGCAGAGCCAGGATTGATACCTATTTGGTCTAGTGTGAGAGGTCCTATCTAGCCATGAAGCTCTACCACCTCTGATAATAAGGTGGCACACAGGGCCTTGCCAGAGCCCCAAGGAGGGACCCCTAACTCAGCCTGGTGTTCATGGTGATCAGGGGAATTTTCCCGAAGGACTAGGAATTAACTAGGCAGAGAGAAGGTGGTGGGGAAGGCAGGGCCACTGCAGGGGAGAAAGATGTGGAAGCCACCTACTGGAAGTGTACACAGCATCAAGTCCAGGCAGGGACTGGAGCTTGTGACCAGGCTGCAGAAGCAGGCAGGACTCAGCCTAGAAAGGGGAGTGGTCCATATCTTAGAGGTAGCTGTAGGTTTGAAGGGTTTTAAGCACAGGAGAGATTTGGCCAGATTTTCAAAAAGGTCATCCAGCGAGCTGGGTGGAGGTGGATGGGAGGGAGCTGGTAACAAATGAGTCCCATGGGATTCCCCTTCACTGGGGCAATCACCGAGGTGTGGGTCCGAGTGCTCGCCACTGTAAGATCACAAGCCACACCCACCAGACACCAGACAGAACTTAAAGGAAAGGCTTTTTATTTCGGAAGATGTCAACCAGGAGACAGGGTAAAGTCCCAACTGCCTTCCCAGTCGACTGGGGGCTGAGATTTATATAGGTAAAGGTATCCGGGACACAGGATGTCTTCGAGTGTGAGGGACAACTGCTTCCTGCTGTGAGAGATGTAGATATATCGGAATGCATCCGCGAGACAGGATGTCTGTTTTCCATACAATGTTAGTCAATCATTAACGGCTAGCTATAAAGAGAAGACAACGTTAGTTCTTTAGGGTGTATACGAATACGGGGGCTTTTCTACATTTATAGAGAGAGACAAGGGCTGAGGCAGTGGAGAGGAGAGAAATACAGAAAGGGGTTTTCCGATGATGGTGATTTGAGTGTCGTTAAATAGAGGACAGGGAACAATTTTGGAGGACACCTGCTTCTGCTCCTAATCCAAGGAGATGGGGGTGATCTGAAGAGGTGAGTTTTGGATGCGAACGCAGGTCTTCTGGCGCCCAGTCCCATGCCCTTTCGCATTGTGGCACTGCCAGCGACGATGCCCGGAGCGTGCACGCCAGGCCACCGGGGAGCGCGGCTGCTCTGCGAAGTCAGCGAGCTCCGAGCCGTCAACCCCACCCTCCGGCGGTGGCGACGACATGCATTGCACTATTCTGGGCGCCAGAGGGCGCTCCCGCACACGCCCGGGCCGCTCTGGCCCCGTCCGTCTCGGTGGCCGCGGAAGGTGACGTGGACGCGGAAGTGGTCGTCGTCGCGGCGGCACCAGTGGGAGCGGGGCGCGAGGCTCGGAGTGTGGCCGGCGGGCGGACGGACAGACGGACGGCCGGCGGGGGTCTCGCACGCGCGGCTGCGGAGGGCGCGGCGTTGTCGGTTGGTTGCGAGTCCGCTGAGCCGACGAGCGGCTTTTCAGTTTCTTTCTCTGCCCCGTCGGAACCCCGCAGCCGGGCCCGCTCAGCTGGCGTCACCATGACCAAGGCCGGTAGCAAGGGTGGGAACCTCCGCGACAAGCTGGACGGCAACGAGCTGGATCTGAGCCTCAGCGACCTGAATGAGGTCCCCGTCAAAGAGCTGGTCAGTACAGTCCCGCGAGTCCCAGGCGCCGGCCCCTGCGTGGGCTGCCTCCTTTCTCAAGCCTCAGTTTCCCTGTCTTTAAAACGAAGTGGGGAGGGGGGAGACTAAGTCCCAGGGGAGGCCACGTCCGGCTGCAGTGTTCTTCCTGGGATGTACACGTGTCACTTTGGCGCAGTTCCAGAAGATAGGAAAGATCTGCTTGTCCGGCCCCAGGCTTTTTACGGGCTAAGAGCGAATCTACCTCTGTTTGGGGGGCTTCCACGGAGCCCAGCTTCGTGCCCAACCCAAAGTAGCAGCCCGCGGAGCAGTTGCTGGACGTGCTCGAGAATGAATGAATGATTCGGGCCGGGGAGTAGGCCTCCTGTTAGACCTGGGTGTGGCCCAGAACCAGCCTTTTCTTGGAAGCCCGAATCCCAGCTGGCTTCCCCTGCCTTGAGGCGACCTTCCCTGAAGAATTGAAGTCTTCCAGCTTAGCTGCAACGGTCTTACCCCAACTCCGCTGAAACTGGCGGGATCCCACATCGTCACCCCTCCTCCCCCCTCCCCGAGGAAACTGAGGCCCCAGGGAGACTGCACACCTAGTTTGCAGTCAAACTAGGAGCCAGTGTGGAGCTAGATCCCACATCCCTGCTTTTCCCACCATGATCCCCACCCCCAAGCCAGCCTCACTTTATATGACCTACACTTTTTTTTTTACTGCTTTTTTAAGGAATTACATTTGCCTTTGGCACTTGGCCAGGTCTTCCCTCCACCATGGCTGTGTTATGTGGTGGTTAGAACTGGATTCCCAGTTCACATCCTTGTTCCCTTGCTTAATAGCTGAGTGCCCTTGGCAAGCCAATTAACCTTTATGCCTAGATTTTCTCATTTATAAAGTGATAATAGTTCCCATCTCATACACCTATGATGAGGATTAAATAAGATTGTAATGTAAAATGCTTGGAAGGCAGCAAATGCTGATACATGTAGCTGTTATGGTGTTCTTCCCACTCTAGTATCCAAAACTTTTTCAGTTGGTCAAACTTCAATCTTAGAACTTTGTAACAGTTGGAACGTGCATGTTGGCCTAGAGTCCTTAACTGAATGTTTGCCTCCTTTCCCAGCCCAGGAAGATGGTCAGCCTTATTTCATACTGACCCTAACACTGCTGTCTGAAACCGTTTTCTCCAGGCATCTGGTCAACACATCATTGCCCCTGGGGAGAAAGAAGGGTCGGTTTTGCTGAGCCTCTCCAGCCTTGGACACCATGGGCAAATAGAGATGGCATTCACTTAGTTACTCATTCATTCAGTCATGATTCAGCCAACATGTGTGAATATTTAGTGCCCACTCCGAGGAAGGACCTAAACCGGGGAGTATGGGAATTCCAACACTTTATTAAACACAGTCCCTTCCCTGAAACTTAATTAGGGGGGCGCTAGAGAACATTTTAAAAGTGCTAAGGAGAATTTCTAAGAATCAGATTTCCCTTTCTTGGATGTTCCACAGCCAAATGGCTACTCTGTGCATTCTTCCCTAGACTGTGGTTGACTGGCTCATTTTTTCCTTTTTTCCTTTCTTATCTCCAGGAACATAATACTTTGGTACCTTTTTTTTTTGGCAGCTGGCCGGTATGGGCATCTAAACCTGTGACCTTGGTGTTATAAGGCTGTGCTCTAACCAACTTAGCTAACTGGCCAGCCTGTTTAGTACCATTTCTTAAAGGCCTTTTCTTATTATGGGAACTTTCTCTGGAAAATGCTTCATTAGCAGATGTCACTGAGTTGTTCCAGGTGTTGGTTTGACGTGTTTTTCTCATTTCCTTTCTTAGGCTGCCCTTCCAAAGGCCACTGTACTGGATCTGTCCTGCAATAAACTGAGTACTCTACCGGTAAGACTGGCAAGCAGCCATAACTCCTGGAGCCCCGGATGCATCCCTTTCTGTTTCCCTGGGGCGGTGTCATAAATCACAATTTCAGCATAGGCCTACAGGCAAGCCACAGCTAAATCTAAGTGTGTGTGTGTGGGGGGGGAGTTGTTTATTCTCAGTGGGAAGAGAATCAAGGTATAGGCCTCATTCTTTAGAACAGTGGAAAAGTCAGGCCACAGAAAACTAAAGTCAACAGGATACTGGCTGAGTCACATACTGGGCTCATCTTTTTTTTGCCTTATTTTATTCCTTTGAAAAACAGTTTATCTCCCTGTTGCTTTGAAGAGGCTAGAGACCATTTCCCTTTTTTTTGTTGTTCTTTTTTTTTTTGTTTTGTTTTGTTTTTTTGGCAGCTGTCCAATATGGGATCTGACCCCTTGACCTTGGTGTTGTAACACTGCATTCTGACTAACTGAGCTAACTGGCCAGCCCTATAGACCATTTTGTAAGTTGCTCCACATTATGGGGAAAAAGCTGTCAATAGCTTCCTTGTGCATCTCCTCCCTGCACACTCCACCTCATGCATCTTTTGATAGGGAACAAGAAAGAATGTGATTCTATGGGACTACCTTATCATTATCCTTCCAAATATGAACCTGAATTACTTGAGATTTGCTACATCCAATCTGTGGTAAAATCCTTTTGATTTTCCTTGCCTAACTTCTCCTAGTTCTTTCTCCTTTCGCTCTATCTGTGTGGGCACTGGATTCATTTAGCCCCTCAGCCTCTCTTGGGTAGTGGCTGGTTTCTCCTCCATAGCATGGCTCCTTCCCGGTCAGGCCTAAGTGTGCTGTCATTGTTGCCTCTGCCATCCATCACTCTGGCCATGTCACTCCTTGCTGTACTCTAGAGCAGCTTCCTGTTGGGCTCTGGCTCAGGGATTGAGTTCAGAAGTTGGCAGTTTTCTTCTTTAGATCATTAGTCTATTCTCCTCTCTGTATTCTCCTAGGCCTCCTTGCTCATTGTGTAAAGCATCTTCCCATATTCAAAAAGCATCTAAGATCCCACTTCTTCCAGGAAGTATTTTCTGTCTAATTAAAGAAGGGTAGCAATTCCTTGCAGCCTCACACCTGCTGTACACTTTGGCATATAGTCATTCAAAACCCTCCAAATGTGCTTTTCAATCTGGGAGTGTTTGGTTATCTGTACTAACAACTTCCATTTCACTCTGCAGTGCAGATCCACTGGTGTTTACAAGAGCATGAATAGTGCCTCATTAGCTGAGGTTGTATCATCCCTTTCAGATTGGTGCTTAGCAAAGATTTAATGTCAGGGGGATGTTTTGGCCTGTGCTGAAGCAGAGCCAGAATATGGGTAGGATGGGCCCCAGCTTAGTCAGTTATTCAGAGAACACTCATGGAGTACCTGTGCTAAGTACTATGCTAGATGCTGCAGATGACAGAGAATAAGACTAAATACTAAAGGAATGATTGCCCTTTTTAGCAAAATGGATGGTCACACTGTGTTTTGACAGATTCTGTGAAAGGTGAATTATAGGGTGTTTTGGGAAGACAGAATGGGTTCCTAATTCCAGTAGCAGTGTGGGGATGGGTTGGAGGAAGAACTGAGGAGGAAGGAAGACACATGTATTTTGTGCCTACTTTGTGCTAAGCCCTTTTATATACACATTTTGGTAATTACCACGAGGAGTGGCAGGTGTTCTTTTTCATTTGAGGAGGAATAGCTGGTAAAAGAGTCAGGATTTATACATAGGTGCCTCTGACTTGGGGGCTTTCAGAGTGTTACACCAAAGTGTGTGAGCTCAAGGCTTAGGTGTCCTCTCTTTGGGTCCTAGTCGGATTTCTGTGGCCTCACACACCTGGTGAAGCTGGACCTGAGTAAGAACAAGCTGCAGCATCTGCCGGCAGACTTTGGTCGTCTGGTCAACCTCCAGCACCTGGATCTCCTCAACAACAGGCTAGTCACCCTGCCTGTCAGCTTTGCTCAGCTCAAGGTAACAATTCATGGACCAGGTTTCACGGCCAGGTGTGGCAGTGGGCTCAGAGACTGGTGGAACATGGCCGTGAGAAAGGCCAAGAGATATACCACCTTCTTGGCCCTGCCTCAGGTGGCTTTCCCTGTAGGTGGAACACACAGTGGCTTTCTTCCTGCTTGTTTTGTTACACCTTCAGGGACTGTGTGTATGAACTTGAACTTAGCCAGCCTCTTCGTCCATCTCTTTAGAATCTGAAGTGGCTGGACCTGAAGGATAACCCCCTAGATCCTGTCCTGGCCAAAGTGGCAGGCGATTGCTTGGATGAGAAGCAGTGTAAGCAGTGTGCAAACAAGGTAAGCATGAGGCCTCTGGGTGTCTCTTTCACACACTCCCTTGGGACTTGCCTCTCCCATCTCTTGTTTTTTTACTCCCAGGGCACCTGTAGCTGAGTGTTGATTAAAGCACCAAGGTCTCAGTGAAATATGTCCACTGTGAGTCTGTCAAGCAGAGACTTTTGTTTTTACATTTACTGTTCAAGTAGTAGAACAAGACTGTCTTCAGCTCTCTTGCAGTTCTTGCTTTCTTAAGAAGTCAGGACCTTGCATGATCCAACATTGCACTCTGTTGACAGTTTTTTTTTTTTTTTTTCGTGACCGGTAACGGGATCACAACCCTCGGTGTCGCGCCCGTACCGCGCTCAGCCAGTGAGCGGACCGGTGTCTATATGGGATCCGAACCCTCGGCGGGAGCGCCGCTGCACTCCCAAGCGCCGCACTCAACCGAGTGCGCCACCGGGCCGGCCTGTTGACAGTTGTTTTAATGGAACAAGAGGGTTAGGGGCTGTGGCCTCTCTGAGGCACAATTATTGTAGGAATGTTGGTAATAAAAGTGTTAATATTTATAAATTTATACTGTCAGCAGACACATCCTGGGCAGACCTGGCATTTGACTATAGTTGAGCCATCTCATAGAGGAGTGGTAAACTAAAGACAGCATGCAAGGCAAACATTGCCAGTGGCAGTAACCTTGAAGATGTCTTACCCTCCTTCTTAAGAACAGCACTACACCCATCTCTCAATAATGCCAACTACAGTCATTTTTTTCCCTCCAGCTTTGGGACAGATTGCTGCTTCATTAGCTGAGCACCAAATGACTGACTTGGCTGTGTTTAGGGGACATGTCGAACAAAAAAACCCATAACTTTAAATACTACAATTAATGTCACTTAAATGTGTATATGATAGGTCTCTACCGTGAAACTCAAAAGTAATGGCCTTTTCTTTTTCATCATTAGTTCAGAGATAAATCTAGTCTGTCATCTTATCATCCACTGTTACAAGAAATCAAATACGAAGTTAACATAACCAAGTGGCCAAAACAACAGTTTTCCCTTAGATAAAGACAGTACAAGTGATCAGTGAACTCTTGTTTTGAAAACTTGGTGCTTAGAAGTGATTTCCATTCTGAAGACACAGTAGCTACCATCGATTACCCTTCCTTTGTCCTAGACACTTTGCAAGTACCATCTCACAGTCTTCATAACCCTGAGAAGTAGGTATTACTTCCATTTCTCTGACATGAGAAACCCTCAGCATGTACACAGCTTCCATTTATTCATTCATTCATTCAACAGATAATATGTTCAACCATATGAAACTGATGATATTCCACAGTTTTTGACTTACAGAAATCATTTTTGGGGCTGGCCAGTTAGGTTGGCGGGTTGGAGCGCAGTGTTATAACACCAAGGTCAAGAGTTCAATTCCCGCACCAGCCAGCCACCACAAAAAAAACCAAAAACATTTTTATTGAGTGCAAAGGCTTTTTGTACTCGCATATATCTTCCAGACAAAGCTCCAGGTAATGCAGTGCATTGTGGATGTGGTAACTAAAACCTTTGTCCCTGGCACTGCTGCCCCAGAGCTGCAGCACCTTTAGGCATTGTAGGGGAGTGGCTTGGGCCAGCCAGAAGGAAGTCACTTGTCTCCAGGAGTTAGCTTAGGTCTCACCAGCTCTGGACTTTGTGGGTGAATGAATTAGTTGTAGTAACTGATCAGCTTGCTGCATATTTAAAGCACCTTTCAAATAATTCGTTCAACAGTATTCATAAAATGCTTACTATATGCTGAGAACTAGGATAGGTAGATAACATCTACCCTCCAGGAGCTCCCAGTCTAGACTAGGGGCGTCCCTCCCATTTCTGAACTGCCTGTGTTTCCAGATAATTAAATCCTGATGGTTGCACTTGTAGCCAATGTAAAAAGGGACATCTCTTACCTAGTAGTACACTCCCTAAAACCACCTGAATAGTTGGCACTTATTTAATATTGAGTTCAGAGTGAGACAGGGGCTTTGGACTTGGGCTGCCTCTCACTATCATGCTTGACCTTTCTTTAGATCCTGCAACTCCTTGTTGAGCAGCCATTTTTGTAAGCTTGACTCCCTTGAGAGGTGCCAGCAGGTTTAAGTCCTGCGTAACTCAGGACAAGGGTCCCTGTGGCTTCAAACCAGGCTCTTTTTTTTTTTTTTTTTTTTTTGACGGCTGGCCAGAAACCATGCTCTTGAAGGGAGATACTTTTGCAGGCCTGCTTCTAAGCCTCTCTTATGATCAGTGCATGTGTGTCTGAAGTTTCCAAGAAATGAAAAGAATTATGTTTGAATATACTTGTCTGTCCTGCAGGTTGTTTAATGCAGTAGTGAAACAAGACCCTTTTGCTATCTTAATTAGAATAGTTCAGGTTTGGGCCGGCCCGGTGGCACACTGGAGAGGCGGCGCTCCCGCCCCGGGCTCGGACCCCATGTGGAGACTGGTTCCCGCTCACTGGCTGAGCGCGGTGCGGGCGCAACACCGAGGGTTGCGATCCCGTTACCGGTCAGTAAAAAAGACAAAAAGGAAAAAGAAAAAAAAGAATAGTTCAGGTTTTTCTTTTTTATTATTATTCATGTGATACAGAAGATAAAATGATAAAGCAGCAGTCTTTACTGAACACATGTAATGCCAGGGATTGTGCTAGGCAGACAGTACAAGTTGTGTTACTTAATCTTCACAATAGTCTGAGAAGCATATCTTATCTCTTTTCCAGATGAGAAAATCAGCTCAAAAAGGTTAAGTTGCTTGCTAAGGTCACATAGTAAGTGATAGAGTCAGGATTGCATTGAGCTCCAAGCTTACGTTCTGTCCCCTGTATCCAAGGAATACTAGCTTCTAAAAAAATCACAAAGGTCTTTTAATCACCTCCTCCAACCACGCACATAGTGAGAATCTTTGCAGCTCTCTCAGTCAGAAGTCATCCATGAGTGAGTTGATGAGGATTTTGGGGAGTTGGGGTGCCAAGTACAAGCATGAAGTGTTTGGACTTTGTCTTAGAGCTCTCCTCCTTTGTGCATGTGGTAGTCTTATGACTAAGGCAGACAGGTAGGAAGTAATTACAGTTTCCTGTGTTGAATTCCACAGAAAAGGAGGAGGGGAGGGCAGGAAAGTGAGTTGGAGGAAATACTGTTTCTGCCAATCACAAGGAATTACTGGGAGAATTATATGAAATCATGCACGTGAGTGTTTGTAAAGAACGGAACTTTTTACAGATTCGAGGTGGCATTGTGTCTTACAAACTTTTTTTTTTTTTTTTTTTTGGTGGCTGGTTGGTATGGGG